GAACCCAATGCCTGCTTTTGATGTCACTTCACAGCCAGCAGCTGGAGCCCAACTTCTTTATCTCCAAGTCTCAATGTCCTTATCTGCAAAATGGGGTCAGCAATACCTTCTTTGCAGAGTTTATTCTGAAAACAGAGTATCACCCCAATTGAGTGTCCATAAGAGCCAGGCACTGTGCTGAGTCTGCCTTTTCATTATAAAATCACTAAATGTTCACAGCCCTACCACATAAGAGATATTATTATCAGAATTTTAAAGGTGAGGAACAGGGCACAGAGAAGTTTAGTTATTTGTCTGAGGTTGAGCAGCCAGTAAGTGAAAGTGTATATTCTTCAAACTCCACATCAACATTCTCAATATGGAATGATCCCCACGTTACTGGGGACAGTTTGCAGTGTCTGGAGACATTTTGGGCTGTCACAACTAAAGGGTGCTACTGGCATCTAGTGGGTAGAGACCAGAGATACTGCTAAACATTGCACAGGAAGGGCCCCCACAAAAAAATAACTATCTGGCCCCAAAACATCAATTCTGCTAAGGCTGAGGAGCCTGTTCTATGCTCTCCTCCTGTGTCAGGAAGTTATATGAGAACTTGGTGCTCCATGAAAGGCAGATGTAATGGTTGTTATTATTTTTTGTCTCTATGGCCAGGGGTTCCCTTTGGCTACGCAGGGAAGCTGAGTTTCCCTGGCTGAGCACGCACACCGTGGTCAAAACCCTGGGTCTGGAGCCAGTCAGAGCATTATAGCATGCATTTGGCAATGATTCATCCAGCACCTGCTATGTGCCAGTCCTGTCCTGGAGCACAGACACACGTGGGTGCCCCTGCCCCGATGGACCAGTCTGGTAGGGAGACAGACATCAGACAAGGAGCACACAAGCTCGCAGACAGCTGTGGCGATCGCCCAGCGTCTCTCCCAGTGCCACGGCACAGTGAAGAACGCTCCAGACCACAGTCTCAGGCTGAAGCAGAAGGAGAGACTCGTTTACTTTCAAAGAGCTCTCAAACCTCTCCAAATCTCTGTGTTGATTGTAGGGAAAGGCATACGTGTTTACAGTAAAGAACATGTAGATAAAATCCTTGGTGTCACGTATTAAGCACATTGTTCTAACACGTCTATTTAGTGATATACATTAAACATGTAATTCTGTTGTTATTTCCTTGTTGTTCCTTAAGGCTATAAAGGAAAGGGCAGGAACCCGACACCAGTCACACTTCCATACGGTCCAAAGCCCACTGTGTGCAGCTGGCCGATAACAATCATATCCCAAGTCCTGTTTGCAGGGCTGCCAGAAATCTGCTTTTCTCACGGCCCCTTTACCCAGGCCTTCATGCCTTTCTAGCCTCCTCTACAACAATACCTTATGATACATGCCATGAAGCAAAAGGCTAGGCGCCAGGAGAATGAGAGAGGGCAAGAGGAAAGACCCTGATGGAGTGAAGAGGCCAGGAAGGTTTCTCTGAGGGAGTGACATTTAAGCTGAGACCTGACCGGGGCACAGTGGCGCATGCCTGTAATCCCAGGACTTTGGGAGGCTGAGGCAAGAGGATCACTTAAGCCCAGGAGTTTGAGCTTGCTGTGAGCTATGATGATGCCACTGCATTTTAACCCAGGCAACAGAGCAAGATCTTGTCTCATAAAAAAAAAAAAAATCTGAGACCCAGAGGTGGGAGGAAGGTGGGAGACAGCCGTGCGAAGGCCCTGTGGTGGGACTGAAGCCTGGCAGTATGAAGGAGGCCAGTGGGGGAGGAAGAAGGAAGTTGAGTGTTATGATTTTGAAAATGTGGGGAAGTAGAGGTCACATTAAGGATTTGGTCTTTCTGTCAGATAAAGATCTCTTGAACGATTTTAATCAGAGTGGTGACACACCCAGGCCTGCCCTTCAGAAAGTGACACTCTTGAGGCCCATGCACAGGCCTGTGTGGAAGATGCTGTGTGAGACGGAAACCCAGAGCCTGTTTCATCCAGTAGAAGCCACTCTATAAAGGCAAGGCTTGTCACAGTTATGTGACTTCAAATAATGCACCTCCTCTCCTCACACTCCCAGCTGGTGGTGAAATGCAATGAGCAGCAAGCATTTTGCACGCGTTGCTATTTCTAAGGCTCATCCATTATCGGACAAAGATCCACATCAGTCACTGGAAACACCTGTTTGGGTCACACGGCCCGCCCCAGACAGTAGCAGGGAATTTCCTGCAGGCTCTTCGTTACTTCTTGTTGCTTGTGGGTGACTCAGCCTGTGACACTTTTGCTTCTCCTGGAATCTCTGTCTTGCCTTTCTCAAATCCCAAGGCAGCCTCTGTCCCACGGTCAGCCGCCACCGACTCCAGTCCCACCAGGGACCATGGTGGTGGCTTGTTTGGGGCCACGAATCTGGACTCCTGATCCTTGTTCCTGCCCATTCACGTGACATGCATGGGACTCTTCAGCGGGACTTACTGGGCAAGACAAGAGCCTGGGACCTTGAGAGGATCTGACTGTCCTGTACAATCAGGGACGGTATTCCCAAGGTGGATGTTGCTCAAGAAAGTCAAAGGAATCATGTGAAGAAAAGGGCTAAGTGGACAATGAGTTTGGGACACCCTGTTGCCACACACTTAAGCAGTTATTTTAAATTGCAGGACTTTTCAGAACGTTTAATATGCTAATGTGCATTATGAATCTCCAAGAAGGAGTGATGCATATTCACCCTTTTGCCCAGGTGCATCTTGAAGACTGGTATTTGGAAGCACGTGCAGCAGGAAATGTCATCCCGAGGGAGGACTCTTCAGAGTGGTCAGCATGGGTCAGACCAGTGCCTGCTTTTCCTTCTAGGCTCCAGGCTCCCAGGAGAGACTGCCTCAAAACTCCCCATTCCCAGCATAGGAGCCGGCTGAAGGACACACAGAGGGTCTGGCCTGCCCGGGGCCCTTCAGTACAGCCTGTTCATGCCACCCTCCGAGTCACCCGTGATTCCTGGGGTTGGAAAAGTTTCCCTTCACTTGGTTGTACACAGAAAACGTGTCTGCACAGGAATCGTTTAATCTGCTTAAAAGAATGAAAGGTTTTAGCACTTTTTTATTTGTCTTTATTACTAAAGAAGTACATGTTTTTGTTTAAAAAAAAATACAAGAGTGTATACTGTAAAACTTGGAAGCGCTCCTCTGGCGATGCCCGCCGCCCCGCCCTGCTGGTGGGCGGGAGCCGGTCTGGAGCCAGGGCCTGGCCCCCCCTGAGCACAAGCCACGCCTCGCCGCTCACCTGCCCTTCGCAAGGCTTGGGGTGCTGAGACAGAGCACAGAAAACGCTCAACACGGCACCTGCACCTAGTTGCAGCCAGTTAAATTTGACTCTTAGGCTTTTCCTTCCAGAATCTTAAGGAATTTTTAAAGTGTCATTTCATGCAATGCATGTACTAATGACAGGATGGGATCCATCTCCTCAATCTGTTCAAGTGAATTTTTATTTCCTCAAAAGCAGTTTCTATACGCAGAAACCACTATATAGAGGTTGATTTTTCAAATTAATATTCAAATTATCAAAGTTAAAAATTAAAAAAACAGATTAGTTAACTCTCTTTATTCTATAGGTTAGCTCATTTTTGACGGTAGGAACTAAACAATTTTCCAGAATTCCGAGGCGATGATTACTATCTTAGAAAATGCCACATTTTTAAGTTCATCTTACAAAAGTTCTTATTCTTTTTATATATCCAGCTAGGATTTTCATATAAAATACAGGTTGCCCAATTAAATCTGAATTACTCAAATCTACCTACTATTCCATATTTTTATTTGCTAAATCAGGCAATCCTAAATTCAGCAAACCTAAATAATAAATTTTACAGGGTTTGGGGCCCATTTATATTTTAAACTTTTAAAAATAAATTTAATATATCCTATTTCCTTTATAAAGTTCAATTGTCTGAACTAACAAAAAAAGGCCACGTTTTAAAATACTAAATAATTTTAAATTCAAATAAATTAAAATTACAAAGTTCTTATAAATTTTCCAGAACTGTATGCAAACTTAGTAAGGCTTCAGCTTAAAATCGCGAATCTAAAATCAACCCTCCACCAATTACACATTTTAGATTGTCAATTTAATAGGCCAAAAATCTCTCATATGTTACAAGTTTATAAAAATACCACATATGTATAGATTCAATTTTAAAACACACATAAAAAATTGTACCATAGCTCTGAGTCTTGTAAACATTTCTATACTTAATTTAAGTCTTTCTCTGATTGGAAGATGCACATTCACCAAGGAAGACAATTAACCACCCATTAACCAGAGCTGCATTTAACCAGAGATTCAACCAGGACCGAGGTCTGAGGTTGCAGAAAACGGGGAGATTCATCACACCATAAGCACAGGAAACCATTATTTCTTTCTATGTGCTATTTGGAGTTACCTCTTAGAATTCCTGGCACGCTTGGCCAGGATGCTGACTGGCTGTATGTTGGTGACTTGTGCACACTTTCCCCTGCGGCTATGGCTACAACCCCATTGCTTCAAGAGGGGGTGTTTAAGGAGATCCCAACACGGGCTTCAAGTTATTTTCCTTCCCTACCCTTTTCACAGAAGAATTGTCCTTGCCAAAGTTCATAAATATAACGTGATTGGATTTTGCATTTCTTTTGCTTTTCAGATCTTTTTATCTTCCTGCCCAAATCTCTAAAAGTCATTTTATTTGGACTAAAATCCTACAGTTCTTGCAAGACCTTCCTTTCCCAGGGTCATACAACTTTCACCAACATTAATTTGGGGCTGAATCATGGGTCTCTCCAGGGGCTTAACTGGCTATTTGCTCTTAAAATCCATGGACATTTTCCTGGCCCATTCTAGCAAATTCCCAATCGCTCTCCCTAGCAACACACTGCCAGTATTTGGTGTGTTAAATTGTGCAAATTAAAAATTAAGTAATTCAAACTAGGCTCAACCTTAACTTACACTCATCAGAATGGTTAGAGTCAGTACCTGGGTGTGTCCCGGAACAGCAGGCTGCCAAGTCACAGAGATTTAGAGAAAACCCGTCAGAATTTCCCATGCCTCTTGCCTCACTGTCCCCCAGCAGAAGGTTCCCTCACCCCAGGTGCCCTCCGGGGCGGACCACTTCCGAGTTCATCAACTGTCAGGAAAAGGCACATGGCATGATGACCAGACGTCAGAGCTGGCTCCCGGTTGGGATATGAGTGGCTTTGCGGAGGATGGTGCCTAAATTAGGTATGCCAATTTCCTTACCAGGGTGACAAAAACAGAGGCTCCTAAAAGGCTGCCTGATATCTTCATTTCCTTGGAGATTAAACCCATGATCTTCAGTTCCTTAGAGAATTGAAAGCAGCAACGAAGAATCCAGTAATTCCTGTTATCTAATGCAGGCTTTATAAGTCAGCACTACCCGCGAGGTGGCCGGGATCCTGCACACCAAGCACAGCTGTCTTCTCGAGGAGCCCTGAAGCCAGAGCAGCAGCAGGATGTCCCAGAGGCTGGTCCTGCTGCTGCTTCTCCTCATCTCTGCCCAGGGCGCCCTGGCCCTGCGGATCTGCTCCTTCAACGTGAGGTCCTTTGGGGAAAGCAAGAGGGAAGACCAGGAAGCCATGGGTGTTATTGTACAGGTCAGTAGGATCCTGGACACCCCTCATGCCCTCTTTCCTGTCTTCAGCTTTAAGAGACTCCAGAGGAATTTAACTGAAGGTTGCCCTTAAGTTGAAGGTAGCAGCTGGCTTGGGTCCTCTTAAAAAAGGGGTGGTAACAGCACCTTCCTACAGGGTTGCTGGGAGGACTGCATGAGTCGATGGATGGAAAGCTCTTAACATTTGCCCTTAACAGGTGAGGGTTGGCTAGTAGGATGATTTTTATTAGCTTTCATTGAATGCCTGTGTCAGGCACTATTAACAGATGATTTCATTTCATAATGCTAATGAGGAAGGATTATTACTCCCCATGAAGAGATGACGTACAAAGAAAGATGAAGTAAACTGCACAGCTGCTGGGTGGGGAGCTGCAAAGCCAGTCCAGCCTAGTCCTTTTGTTTTTTTTTAATTTTGGGGGGGCCCAGGCTGGTCTTGAACTCCTGGCCTCAAGTGATCCTCCCATAGTGCTAGGATTATAGGTGGGAGCCACTGCACCCAGCCGCAGCCTGGTCTTTTTATCCGTCAGTGAAGGACAGCTTTCTGGCTCGCATGCACACTCTCTCTCTCCCCCTTTCTCTCCTGCCTCCCTCTATATCCCATCCTGACCCTCCCTCTGTCTCTTTCTCTCCTTCTTCCTTTCCTTCCTTCCTCCCTCCCTCTCCCCTGCTCCCCCTCAGCCTGCACCCCACTCCAAGCTCTGCTCTTTATCTCCACTTAGCTCATGCCTTCCTCACTCATTTTCTCTGGAGTCAGTTGACTCTCTTTATCCTACAGGTTAATTTATTTTTGATACTGGGAACTATTAGTAAAAATTTTCCTGGGACCCTGGAAAGGGTGTCATTACCCTAGTAACCCCCGGAGGCACCATGGTGTGGTGGGAACCCCAGGAGCCCTGGGTGCAGGTCTCACCTGCTAGCTGCATAAGTTTTGGAGTCCCTCCAACTCCCTGAGCCTCCAGTTCCTTTCCGTAAAATGAGGCTAACCCTACCTGTAGGCCCGGCTGAGAGAACGCAGGTGCCTGAGGCGCTAGCAGAGCCTGGAGCAAGGCAGGTGTTGGCAGGGAGAGCCGCTGCGTTGTTGTCATTAGTTAGATGTGCGTCTCAGAGCTGGACAGCCCTGCCCTTTGGAGGGTACCCAAGGCCTTCTAGATGTTGTTTAACCAGGACAGCCATGCCAAGCCCGCGGGAGCCATGACACAGCGGCTCCCTGGGAACCTGACTTGTGAGGAATCTACTTCCCCATTCCTTCACACACGGCCCACAGGCCTGAGTACCTGCTCAGTTCCCATCACTCTCCTCACTGATGTCACCACATTCTTAAATTGCTGTCTTTTTATTCCTTGGGAATTCCATTTTGGGGGACCTACACTCAACATCTGCCCTGAGCTGCCATGTCCTGCCAGGTGTGTCTGAAGTCTTGCTCATGGCTGCCTTTCCCTCCCCATGGACCCCAAACCATCCTGCTAAGAGGCCATCCCCAAACACCGCCCAACAGAGCACTCTCAATCGCCCGGAATGCCAGGCATTCAGAATAGAGTTATTTCCAGGAATTTTATATTCTTGTTTAATACTATGACTTAGGTGGCTGTGCCCCCACTTCATAACTGAGAAAACTGAGGCTCAGAGTGAGTCGATTAACCAGGTTTCCACAGCGGGTAGGGGAGAAGAGCCAGCACTGAACACAACCACACAAGCGAGAGGCCTTTCCACTCTTCCAAGTGGACGTCAGAGACGCGCCAGGCAGCACCGGCTGCTGCCTTGACCTTCACTCCGGAGGCGGGCGGGTGAGGGGCTGCCTTCTCCATCTTGGGCTGGCCCACCGGCCCCACGGGCAGCTGTCCTGGTGCCGGCCCTGCCTAGCCGAGTCTCATTCTGTCTGTGTGTTCTTCAGGTTGTGCCCTTACAGAGCAGAGCTTGTTCATCTCTCAAGCACCCACTGACGCAGGCTGTGTGCCGGACACCCACGGGGACGAGGTGCTGGGTGTGGGGCCTTGTCTCCCTCTGCACAGAGCTCACAGCACACAACAGCTACAATTTCCGGAATGTGTGCTGTGTGCCAGGCCCTCACCATGCCACCGCCGAGTGCCACCTCACATCCACTCTGATCACTGCGCCCATTTTGCAGATGAGGCAACTGGAGCTCAGAGAGGCGAAGGGAGCTGCCCGGGCTGTCGGGGAGAGTGAGGGCTAAACCCGGGCTCCTCGCCCCCACGCTGTGCTGCTCCCTGTTCAGAGGCACAAAAGGGGGCTTCACGAGCCCCACAGTTCAGAGGCACAAAAGGGGGCTTCACGAGCCCCACAGTTCAGAGGCACAAAAGGGGGCTTCACGAGCCCCACAGACCACAGCTTCCCCGGCTCAGGAGGCCCGGCTCCCTCAGCACGGCGCTCGCAGTCACGTCACCCCCCTCTCGCGAGGAGTCAGGCACTCAGCCTTGGCCGGGAAATCTCAGGCTTTCGAGTCGCGGCTCTGGGAGGGTTTTCCCAGAGCTCTTATGCTTGGAGCCTCTCCTGACACAGTGGAGCGGGGGAGATATCTTTCTCATGGTCTGAAATATAACAAGGGAAACATGTCGAGAATGGACCTAAAAATGGAATATTTAATTATATCAGGGAAAAACACAACATAATTTCCAACTAAAGAACTGTGTGATACCGAACAGTCTGGCACCACACGGTACGATAAATACTGCCACTGCTCGCTGAGCACCTGTTCCGTGCCGGGAGTGGGCCGGGCATTGTGTATCTGTCAGACATTTTGTGTCTCTGAGACTGCCCACTTGATCCCCATGGCAGCCCCATGAGGGGATACTGTTATTGTCTCAGGTCACTGAGAAGGAATCTGGGGTTTCAGGGAGCTTAAGTGACTTAATCAAAGTCAGTCATGAACCCAAGGCCACTTGACTCAAAGTCCACACTTCAAGCCAATGGACCAATCTTTATGATGCCAATTTTATAAATAAATATAGAAATCAAATGGAAAAGTGTCTGGGTGTGGGGTTGTAGGTCATCAATGATTTTTATAGTCTTCTCTGTCTTTTCTCTATTTTCCAAATTTTCTACAATAAGCAACATTATTTTTATAATTAGGAAATTATAACAAAATTATTTTTTAAAGGATTGAATAGGAAATTTATTTCCATTTTTCTTACACTGCTATGAGGAAGATTTAAAAACAGAAAGATGTTTGTGCTTCTAAATCTTCCTCATAGCAGTGTAAGAAAAATGGAAACAAATTTCAGAAAGATGTTTGTGCTTCATGAATTTGGCTTCACTGGTTCCAGTAGGGCCTCTCTCCCTCCCTCGCCCACCTCACTCACGCCAGGCGCTAGGCCAGCAGCTGGAGCTGAAGCGGGCCAGCGTGTTGCCTGGCACGCAGCAGGCAGGCTCGTGATAGATTTTGTTGGATGGATAGATGTGTGATGGAAGGGTGGATGGATGGATTGGTGGATGGATGAAGGCCAACCAGCCAAATTTACAGGTTGCATTTCCAGGAGAATTTTGATAATGGGATCTTGGGCCATTGCTCATTGCAGGGTAGATTCTCATGTATAGAATATATTCCCAGAGGTGCCGAGGAGACTGCCCAAGGGAAGTGGAAATCAGTAACTGCTGGCGATATGGGGCTCAGAACTGCTTGTTAAGCAAGAAAAGGGATTGTAAACAGGAAATCTGGGGGCTGAACTCTCTACTCAGGAAAAGGAGCCTGAACCACGGTCCATATTTGCCCTGCACTTATGGGTCACACTCACAAAAGGGACCTTGGTTTTTGAAGAGGAGCAGTCACAAGGACATGCTGATTTCCGTGGTTGTTGAGTATAGAGGTCAAGAAAAGGCTCTATAGTGTAGATAGTTATCCCATATTCACTTGGTGTTCAAATGGCTAAACCTCGCTGAGCCTCAGAGTATCCAACTACACAGCAGGGATACTCAGAGGTCTGGCATCAAAGGGTTATCATAAACGTTGAGGAGTCAGTGGTAAGAGCTAGCTCTTATGAAGCCCTCCCTATGTGCCAGGTGCTATATTAGGCACTTTATATAAGACAACTCATCTAGCTTATATTAAATAACTTAGAAATGTACTTGTCATGTTCTGCTAAATTTTGGCTATCACCTCTTCCCCTACAATTCCTTCCTCACCAAGCAGTTTTCTTTCTAAAATAACACTACAGTTTTTAAAAACTATAAAGGTATAAATTTTTTTAATTATAAATTTCTTTATAATTTATAAAATAATTATATTAAGTAAAAAATAGTCATTATGGACTATTTTCAAAATATAGAAACATATAAAAAAGAAAAATAAGTCCCCCTTTATCCTATCACTGAAAGATAACAGTTGTTGACATTTAGGTAATTTTCTTATGGATATTTTTCTGTGCAAAAATAAATACTAAGTCTGCATTTATTTTATAGCATAGATAGCATTGTTTTGTATTTTGCTTTCATATTAGAAATATTTCCTGTGATGTTAATATTCTTTTAAAACTTGATTTTTAATGCCATATAGTGCTTTATCCTGTGTTTGCAACATACTTCATTGAATACTTTTCTGTTTGGAGATACCTAGGTTGTTTCCAATTTTCTTGTTGCATTGAATCTCCTTCTTTGATCTGTACAAGTAAGAATAATTTATGGCCGGGCGAGGTGGCTCACGCCTGTAATCCTAGCACTCTGGGAGGCTGAGGTGGGCGGATTGCTCGAGGTCAGGAGTTCGAAACCAGCCTGAGCAAGAGCGAGACCCCGTCTCTACTATAAATACAAAAAAATTAATTTGGCCAACTAATATATATATATATGAATTAGCCGGGCATGGTGGCGCATGCCTGTAGTCCCAGCTACTCAGGAGGCTGAGGTAGGAGGATCATTTGAGCCCAGGAGTTTGAGGTTGCTGTGAGCTAGGCTGACGCCACGGCACTCACTCTAGCCTGGGCAACAGAGTGAGACTCAGTCTCAAAAAAAAAAAAAAAAAAGAATAATTTATTACATGCCTCCTATGTGGCTGGTACTGTTCTAAGTGCCTACAGCAACCCTGTGAAGGACTGACTATTATCATCCCAATTGACAGATGAGGAAACTGAGGTGCAGAGAAGTATTGGATATTTCCTTATGATGGAAACATTCTGCAAAGTGGGAAAACTGGACCAAAGGGTATATGTGTTTTTAAATGCCTTCCAGAAAAGTCTGACAGTCACCAGTGACTAGGAGGGCTGGCTTGGCCAGTGGCACCCAGCCCCCCGGTGAGCCGCATGTGGCTGACACCACGGATTTCCAGCCTAGCTGTGGAAGGGTCCAGACTTGGGACATAGTTCTTCTCAGTCACTGCACACGTGGGTCTCCCGCCTGGGGCAGCTTCTTAACCACTTCGGTCCGGCGCTCCCGGCGGAAACCGTGCCGCGCCGCACTCACAGTCCCACGCGCTGCCGCAGTCCGTCTTGGCTCGTGTGGTGAGCAAAGCTCGAGAGCACTGAGAGCTGGTTTTACTTTACAGGCAGCTTTACCTGTCATGTGAATCAGAACAGGTAACATATACACGTATGTTTTCATTACGTTCTGTTTAAATGGTCACAATTTCATTTTGATAAATGAAAAATTAGAAAGGTCATATCACGGCTATTGACTAAAGTTGATGCTCGGCTATGCACCTTCATATCACGGCTGTTGGCTAAAGTTGTTGTGCGTGTTCATCTGTGGCTGTCGGCTACAGTCGACGCTGGGCTGTGCGCGTTCATCTGTGGCTCGTACTGAAGTGGTTAAAGCCTGAGCGCCCAGTCCTGGAAGCACCTGGACACGTGGGTACTGGCATGTCTCCCTGCTCCATCCTTCGGCAGATGGAGCAAGAACATCAGAACATGTGCTGTGGAAGTAGAGGGCCGCTGGCACAACCCTCCTGTTCCATGTGTTTAGTGGCTATGTGAGAGGACAAAATTAACCTTGGGGATGCCCTATCCTTGACCAACAAACTGTGTGTCGTTGAGCCCACAGGAAGCCATGTGCAGAACAGCCCAGTGGTCAGCAAGGACTGGTCTGCATCCTGGTCTCCAGGCCGTTGCTGCCCTGAAGGAGCCCTCCTGTGTTCTTTTCCCACTGAGCTCCTTCTCACCTTGCAGGGCCTGTTCAAACATCGCCTCCTCCTGGGAGCCTTCCCTAATCTTCTGGGAAGAACTAATTAATTATTCCTCCACATTTCCACAGCTTGTGACTTGTATTTAGCACAAAATTTATTTGCTTCACATCGTAGCTAGTCATTTCCATTTGTCTCTTTCACTGAACTATGAGCCTTTGAGAACCAGGACTGTATTTTCACAGTTTAGCATGGTGGGATTTGTAGTCACACAGTCCTGAGCTCAAATCCTGGCTCCGCCACCTGTACTGTCTGTGTGACTTTAAGCTAGTTGCTCAACCACTCTCAGCTTGGTTTCTGCCTATTTTTAATGGGCTGATAATCACAGTCATCTCATAAGGTTGTGAGGCTCAGAATAGTTTCTCAATAAATGTTAGCTCTTATGATTATTATCATTATAATTACACCTCATTATTTCTACAGTATCCAGCCTAGTACCTTTGCTTACTAAGGGCTTAATTAGTATTTATTATTATAATAATTATTGTAATTATTCAAGCAAAGCCAAAAGGTAGGATGTGAGGGGGTCAGGATCGTGGGCTCTAGACGGGGATGCTAAGGTTCAGATTCTGCCTCAGCCACTTTCTAGTTGGGTAACCAGATAATTTACTCTATTTTCCCTGAGCCTCAGGATGGGCATAATAAAGGCACCTACCTCAGGAATTCCTTCATTTAGTACAGCGAAGAAATTAAATTATTTTAACAAGCACACAATGCAATACTCATAACACAAAAAGATCCCAATAAAAGGTTTTACTATTTATGGGAAATGGCCTCGAGCCCCTGGGATTCTCTCTCGCAGATTATCAAGCGCTGTGACATCGCCCTTCTGATGGAGATCAAGGACAGCAGCAACACGATCTGCCCTGTGCTGATGGAGAGGCTGAACGGGTACAGTGGGCAGAGGTGGGGCCTCTGGGGCTCAAGGTCGAGTGCAAGCCCATCTGAAAAGTCACAGGGAACTGAAAGTAGGGGGAGAGCCTGCACTTGACCACCAGATCACATGGCCAGCACTGCCCAGGCTTCCGACTCGCTTAGCCACAGCCCTGAGAGCTTTCAGCCGGCTGGTTTTAATACGATAAAGCAGAATAGTGGAGGTGGGCGGAGAGTCAGGACAAAGAGAGAAATGAACTAAGCAGATAAGAGGCTGAGCTAAAAAGTACTGTTAAAAAGAATATATTAGGGAAAAATCCATAGTCCCAGGATTGGTGAGAAAATGTCTGGTGGTTCTCAAAGGAGAGAATGCTCCTGCATATGATAAGTGCTCAGGAGTGGTGCGTGGGCACCAGTGGGTGACGTGATGAGGATGAGCTGCAGCCCCAGCCAAGGGCCAGAGCAGGGTCTGGGGCTGATTCTGGCCCAAAGGGTCTTCTACGATCTCAATGGCCTCCCAAAGGACAGGCCAAAGCTTGTGGGTTTGGGGTGAGTTGGATCTGGGTTCAGATTCCAGCTTTGATTTGCAAACTAGGAAGGGGAATAGCAACTATAAAAAGAAATACTCACCTCATGAGGCAAGAAATAACGGCTGTAAAGGCCCTGGCAGATGCTATACTTCAGTCAGTGGCGGCCCTTCTTGTTGGACTCAAAGGTTATGGTGAACAATAGTCCTTCCACATGATGCCACTGGGTATATGGAGGCAGATTGGAGGGAGGAAAACATATATAGTAGGAGAATGCTTTTCTTTAAGATACAATGTGAAATCTTTATATTTCCTAGAAATTCAAGGAGAGGCATAACATACAACTATGTTATTAGCTCTCGTCTTGGAAGAAAAACATATAAAGAACAGTATGCCTTTCTCTACAAGTAAGTATAATCTTTGCTCCTTGGATCATGGTCCATTAATAAATTATGAATTGAATCAAAATGCCTATCTTTCTTCAAAACCAGATTTTGATCTCTAATTAGATCTCAATGTTGATCAAAACAATTGCTGTCAAAACTGGGGCTGACGCAAAGTATTAACTCTTCAAACTAAAAAACACAAGCGTCCTCCTAACACCTAATTTGTTGGTTGGCTCAATGGTTGTCTGGACCAGGAGTTCTTTATTCCTCATAGTCATGTCCTGGCTCACAGCTGGGAGCCTGAAGTGCCAGCAAAACTGACTCTTGAACTTCATATTCTTGTCTCGTGCCTGCTAGTAATTTATTTTAAGTCTGGACTTGTGGGTGCCCAGATGACTAACCTGGTGTGGCTTAGATCTTGAGCTCCCGAAAGGTGCAGGCTGTTGAGAAGAATTAACTCAGCCTTGTTCCCAGGCAAAAGATACCTTCCCCCTGCTCAAGTCTTCTCTGGAGGCTAACAAAGTCATGCTGCATCTCTGCTTCTTGGAAGAAAGCAACTGACTCAGCGAGACGGCTTCCTTTTTTCTCTTCTAGGGAAAAGCTGGTGTCTGTGAAGAAAAGCTACCTCTACCCTGACAATCAGCATGGAGATGGAGACGTGTTTTCCAGGGAGCCCTTTGTGGTTTGGTTCCATTCGCCTCACACTGGTGAGACCCACAGGCCCCTCTTGTCCATGGCCTCCCCGGTGGCCCATGAAAGGGCAGCAGCCCCGAACAGGAGCTCAGGCTCCCGCAGAGTCTTCAGGGAGGCGTCAGGCTGGCGATGGCGATGCACTGCTTCTTCCAATGTGTGTAAAGGGTGCAGTTTAGTTTGATGACACCAGTCTTGCTTGTCAGATGCCATGACTCGAGACCGCCCCAGTCTAGAACATGTCTTCTGGAATCAGTGGTACCTCCACTCTCTTTGGAACATTTAGGCTCACAAACATTAGATACCACAATTCCTTGGTCCTTGTCAAGTACAACTCTTCATTTTAAAATATCCTAAGCATGGCCAGGCATGGTGGGTCACATCTGTAATCCTAGCACTCTGGGAGGTCAAGGCGGGAGAATCGCTTGATGTCAGGAGTTCGAGACCAGCCTGAGCAAGAGTGAGACTCCGTATCTACTAAAAATAGAAAAAAAAATTAGTCAGACAACTAAAAATAGAAACAAAAAATTAGCCGGGCATGGTGGTGCATGCCTGTAGTCCCAGCTACTCGGGAGGCTGGGGCAGGAGGATCGATTGAGCCCAGGAGTTTGAGGTTGCTGTGAGCTAGGCTGACGCCACGGCACTCTAGGCTGGGCAACAGAGTGAGACTCTGTCTCAAAAAAAAGTCCTGAGTGTTGGCCACCAAAGGTGAACCCCCAGCCTAGAGGCTCACTCTCCTCTAGGAGGTGCATAGCTGTGCCCTCCACAGACTGCAGGGAGAGAGGAAACCCGGCTCGGTTCTCCCCCGCACTGTCAGGATGGTGCTTGTGCGGGTCCCTGATTAGGGGCTGGCCTCCTAGTAACTGGAATTATCTCCACTTTATATTTGAGGAAACTGAGGTTCAAAAAGGTGAAGTCACTTCTCTGAGCTGCTCAGCTATTGAAATGGATGAACCAGGGTTGTAAGCTACCACTTCAGGAGCTCATGCTCTTAAACACTATGCACACTCAATGAAAAGTCAAGAATTTGCTTTGCAGATTGCAGCCACATAGAATCAAATATTTTTTCAGTACCTACTATGTGCCAGGCTCTGTTGAGAGCACCAGAACAGACAGACAAGGTCCCTGTCCTTGTGAAGTTATACTGTAGTAAGGGAGACAGATCATGACCAAATACATGCATGTGGAGTTATAAGTATGTACATCTATATCTATACTACACCCACGTAAATGAACTATGAAGTTAACTATTTCTGCGTAGGGTTAATTAGCTCCAAGGCAGACTATTTTAGGAAAACAAACATGGGAGAGCAGTAGGGAAATTCCCAGTAGAAAAAGAGAAGGAAGAGGGGCTACAGAGGGCAAGAAATGCCCTTCAGAGAGCATGTGTATGATCGTCTTTGTCACATGCACAATTCCATGTGGCTGACCAGGCCAGTGTTTGGAGAGCTCCCCACTCCCACCCCTAAATAATTATTTCCTCTGAAAGAGATTCCTGAGTCTTTGTGAACTGCTAAATAAACCTATTTATCCTGAGCCTCCACCCTTCCACCCTGCCCTGCCCTCCTTGTCTCCCCTGGGCAAGTGCTGCCTGTTTGGAGTTTTCTCTCCTGTACAAGGAAACCTACATCCCCTCAATCTAGGATTGAAAATGAAGGAGTTAGGTATTCACTTCCCTTTTCTTTCATTCATTCACTTATCCAATCATTCATTCATCCATGTATTCGGTCGACAAACATTTCTGAGCGCCTCCAATGTGCCAGGCACTGGAAGCAAAGGGTGACTAAGAGGCCTGCCCTCAAGGACCCGAGGTTCTAGTGTGCCAAAGGAGTGAAGAAAGTGATCTCAGAGCATAAAGGAAGCAATAAGCAGGGGGCACTGAATAGTGGGGGGGTGCCCATCTTAGGCAGGGTGACGGGGGTCTTTGGGGTGACATTGGCCTGTGCTGTGAAGAAGGCAGCCACCCAGAAGACTGGAGGAAGGGCATTCCAGGCGGAGGACACAGTGAACACAGAAGCTTCCAACACTGCTGGAGGGCAGAGGTGAGAAAGAGGGTGGAGTATTCAGGGGGCCCCCGAAAGAGGATGCAGAGTGACGTAGAGGGCTGAGAAGGAGAGCTAGACATGAGGCTGGTGGCAGAGAGGGCAGGCCTGAGTCCTGGCTCCCCTTTGGGGGACCTGAGCAGTGAGCCCCTCCACAGACCCTGCCTCAGGAGGTAAGAGCGAGGCAGGCGCACACTGAGGAGCCGTGCCAGGAGGAGGCTCGAGCAGGTGGCGGGTGCGGCTCCCAAGGCTGCCCACGCTGCTCAGGCCCCCAGTGGTGGGCGAAGGTTTTCAGATACTTCACCAAAGACCATTTAAATTTTTAAATAGCTTTTCAGAGTTTCTGTTTCTGATGACAAAAGAAGTATAAACTGATAAGCGTCCCTTGTTTTCTAATTAGAAGAAATTTTTTTTTCCTTAGTACAAAAGCCAAACAGGGTTATTATTTTTAAAACATAGAAAATATAATCATAGATATTATATATACAATTTGTATTTCTCATTTTAATAAATAAAGAAGAAAAATACATTCCGGAAAAAAAGAAAACACAAGTCTGCAAAAAAAAACACAAGAAAATAATAGCATCCACCATGCCAGCAAGGAACATTGTCTACCAGCTTTGTCTCAGCTGAAAGCCAAGCAGGAGAAAAAAGTCTTTCATGCACTAAAAATAAGCAGCCTAATCACCCTAAGATCATTAAAATCTCAGCCATTGGCTGGGCTGTCTGAGAACTGGCGACCCAGCCTGGCCTTCTGGGGCAGAGCCTGTCTCCCTGAGCAGTGTTCGTGGGACCTCAGCAGGGATGTGTGTGACCTCCGCCTCTTTCCTGTTCCGCAGCTGTCAAGGACTTCGTGATTGTTCCCCTGCACACCACCCCCGAGACATCCGTTAAAGAGATGGACGAGCTGGCCGATGTCTACCTGGACGTGAAACGCCGCTGGGAGGCAGAGGTGGTGCCCGTGTGCCTGGGCAGACTCTGGCTGGGCCGAGTGGGATGAGGCCTCTCCAGGCCGGGCGAGGGGTCAGGGCATATGCAGGCCTCATTTGGGGCCTTACAGCCTCGTTTGGGGCCTTTCCTCAGCCCTAAATATCCTTTTTGCTAAATCTGCCTGGACCCCTCTGCGTGGGCCGTGGGACTTGGTGCGCTGCACGTTAGCGGCGGTGCCGGCACTTCCCGTACCGCTGGGGCCAGGAGCTGTGCTGAGGCTTGACATGGGCAAGTTTATTCATTCAATCTTCTCAATAATCCCATGAGGTAGCTATACAGTTTTTATCATTCCCATTTTACAAACGAGAAGGATGGGGCAGAGAGAGGTCAGGAGTCTTTCGGTTGCAACCAACAGGATCTTAACATGGTTCATGAAAAGGAGGAGCAATGCGTTGGTCGGTGCAACTAATGTCTGGGGGTAGTTCAGGCACAGCTGGATCAGAAAAGATAATCAGGCTCAGAAAAGGTAATCAGGGCTCGGTTTTTCTCTTCCTTGCCATCTCTTGGCCCTCCTTTCCTCTGTGTGGGCTCCATTCTCAGGCCAGCTCCACCCTTGGGGATGGATGGGCCAGCAATCTCCAGACCAACTGACAAGTTTTCTTTCCCATAATGCAACTAATGCCCTGGCATTGAGGTTCATTGGCTCTAATTGGGTCACATGTCCATCCCTTAGCCAATCACTGTGACCAGGGGCTGAGATACTCCTGACTGGTTAAATCTGTGTCAGCTCACCCCAGCCTCGTGAAGGAAGGTGGAGGAGGGAGAGGTGGTTTCCCAGAGACTCTTGGGGTGCTGTTCTCACAGCAGGGGCACACATCTGCTGCCCCTGTAGGCCTCAGTCATGCTGCTTTTGGAAGACAGGACTGCTGTGAGTGTCTGTGAAAGCTCCTGGCAAATACGGAAGTGCTCCCAGGGTTCTTCTTCCTATTCCTCTTTTCTCCTTTCGATGTGACTCCTGGGATCCCCCTTCCTCCTCCTCAGTTCTGCTGTTCAGAGTGCAAAATGAGTCAAGTAAAGTGTGAACATAGTCCATCAGAGCTGGGACATGGAGAAGGCGAGGGGTGTATTTCAGTGCTTATTAGTAAATAGACTCATTCATTCATTCGAAAAATTAAGAAATCCTTGGCCGGGTGCAGTGGCTCATCCCTGTAATCCTAGCACTCTGGGAGGCCGAGGCAGGAGGGTAGCTTGAAGTTAGGAGTTTGAGACCAGCCTGAGCAAGAGCAAGACCCCATCTCTACTAAAAAAAAAAAAAAATAGAAAAAATTAGCTGAGTTTGTTGGCATATGCCCGTAGTCCCAGCTACTGGGGAAGCTGAGGCAGGATCGCTTGAGCCCAGGAGTCTGAGGTTGCTGTGAGCTAGGCTGACGCCACGGCACTCACTCTAGCCTAGGCAACAGAGTGAGACTAAACCAGCTATTGGGGCTTTTTAAAATTTTAAATAAGTAAAATATAATAAAAATACTTTTGAAAATTGTAAAAAAGAAAAAGAAAAAATTATGAAATCCTTCATCCATTCAACTAGAACACACTGAGCATCTAGTGAGTGTCAGACTGAGAGGCATGGGTGGCCCGACAGTGGACAAGAGGGGACTCTCATGATGCCAGGCCTTCAGCGAGGCAGGTCAGGGCGCGATATTTCTCGGTACCACTTCAACCTCCCAGCTGTGTGGCCTAGAACAGGTCCCTTAATTTCTCAGCCCTGTTTCTACAGAAGTTAATGGGCCATTCTACCTCTCAGTGTTTATTGTTGTGAGGTATAAATTAAACTTTAAAAACACTTAGGCTGGACAGGGGTGTGGTGCCTCATGCCTGTAATCCTAGCACTCTCAGAGGTGGGAGGATCACTTGAGCTCATGAGTTCAAGGCGAGCCTGAACAAGAGCGAGATCCATCTGTACTAAAACTAGAAAAATTAGCTGGGTCTCACTCTTGCTCAGGTTGGTCGTGAACTCCTGAGGTTGAGGTTGCAGTGAGCTATGATCATGCCACTGCACTCTACCTGGGGCAAAAGAGCGAGACTGTCTCAAAACCAAACAAACTACTTAATGCTGGGCTTGGCACACAGGGAATGAATGTTCAGCAAGTCAGCCTATATCAGTAGCAGCTGGTGATCACTCATGTTAAGTGATGACATTCACTCATGACATTCTGTCCTCAACTGTGTCCATTAATCTCAGGAGAAACTGTGATCACCAAGGTCAAAGTAAAATGCTCTGAAGAAAACTCTTAAGTCAGCAATGCCCCTGAACAATAGTGCAAACAAGGAAATCTGACACTTCCTCTGTATTATGGAATGTTAAAATTCTGTTCCAAGAGCCCTGCAGAGAAAAATATTTCCAAGTTAGAAAGTTTCTGATGGTGGCCTTGGGTGAGGGCGGACAGCTCACTCTATGCCCCTCTCCTTAACCACCTCGCGGCGCTCCCGGCAGAAACCGCGCCACACCGCACTCGGCCCCACACGCACTCGGCCCCACGCGGCACTCGGCCCCACACGGCACTCGGCCCCACACGCACTCGGCCCCGCGCGGCACTCGGCCCCACGCGGCACTCGGCCCCACGCGGCACTCGGCCCCACGCGGCACTCGGCCCCACGCGGCACTCGGCCCCACACGCACTCGGCCCCACACGCACTCGGCCCCACACCGCACTCGGTCCCACACCGCACTCGGTCCCACACCGCACTCGGCCCCACACGCACTCGGCCCCACACGCACTCGGCCCCACACGCACTCGGCCCCACGCGCTGCCGCAGCCCGTCTTGGCTCACGTGGTGAGCAAAGCTCGAGAGCACTGAGAGCTGGTTTTACTTTACAGGCAGCTTTACCTGTCATGTGAATCAGAACAGGTAACATAGACACGTGTGTTTTCATTACGTTCTGTTTAAATGGTCACAATTTTATTTTGATAAATGGAAAATTAGGAAAGTCAAGTTTTGTTGTTAACGCTACCGTCGACGCTCGGCTGACCTGTGGCTGCCGACTGTAGTCGATGCTCACACCTAAGTGTTAAGCTTCTTCCCACTTCTTCCACAGACTGACTTTCCACAAGAATAAGTTTCCAACTTCAAAACAATAAAATAGGCCGGATGCGGTGGCTCACGCCTGTAATCCTCGCCCTCTGGGAGGCTGAGGCGGGCGGATCGTTTGAGCTCAGGGGTTGAGACTAGCCTGAGCAAGAGCGAGACGCATCTCTACTAAAAAAATAGAAAGAAATTAGCTGGACAACTAAAAATATACAGAAAAAAAACTAGCCGGGCATGGTTGCGCATGCCTGTAGTGAGCTACTCCGGAGGCTGAGGCAGGAAGATCACTTGAGCCCAGGAGTCTGAGGTTGCTGTGAGCTAGGCTGACGCCATGGCACTCTAGCCCGGACAACAGAGGGAGACTCTCTCTGTCTCAAAAAAAAAAAAAAAAAAAAAAAATGCAGCAAAACAATGAAATAAAAAGAGTGGTGCCAAGCCTGTCATACACTACCCAAATTCATTTTTCCTGCTTGGAAACAAAAGGTGTTGATTCATTCATATGTTTATACCCTACAGTAATTTGAGTCAGAGACAAAAGATCAGGGAATATATTAGCTGGGTTGTTTTATCCCCACCTAACTCTGCATGCTGAATTATGTGGTGACTAAGAACAGCAAACACCTCCTTCCCATTCAACACCCTCCCTGGCACACATTTGCTGTCGTGCACTCGTCAAAACTATGACTCAGCTTTAAACCATGGCCCTTTCTTTTAAAAAGCAAAAAGAAAATTAAGAAAGACCCTGTATTAGCTTGCTAGGGCTGCCATAACAAAGTACTGTACAAAGATTGGGTGACTTAAACAATAGAGAGCCATTTTCTCACAGTTCTGGGCCTAGAATTCCAAGATCAAGATGTGTCAGCAGGGTTGGTTTCTTCCGGGGCCTCTCTCCTTGGCTTGTAGGTGACCACTTTCTTCCAGTGTCTTTACATGTTCTTCCCTCTGTGTCCCTCTGTGTCTTAGTCTCCCCCTTTTTTTTTAAAAGGACACCAGTCATATTGCATTAAAGCCCACCCATATGACTTCATTTTATCTTAATTACCTCTTTAGAGACCTATCTCCAAATACATTCACATTCTAAAGTACTAGAAATTAGGATTTTGACTTATGAATTGCTTCCCCACCCCCAACTCAGCCCATCACAGACCCCTTACTTACTGGACATGGAGGTGGCGTCCCTGCCAGCAGGCGGGCGGAAGCATTCTGCAGCAGTGCCCGCCAGGTGATAGGGCCCAATCATGTCTTTCAGAATTTCATTTTCATGGGTGACTTCAATGCCGGCTGCAGCTACGTCCCCAAGAAGGCCTGGAAGAACATCCGCTTGAGGACCAACCCCAGATTCGTTTGGCTGATTGGGGACCAGCAGGACACCACAGTGAAGAAGAGCACCAAATGTGCATATGACAGGTAGGGGCCTGCAGGAAATTGTCAGCCCCACAGTGCGTGGAGTGCTCGGGAAATACAGCCCTCGGAGCAGTGAAGCATGAGGTCTGGTGATCTGAGCCAACTACATGTCAGCCCCTCCACTGGGTACCTTGTGCAGCGTATGGCCACCATGGCCCCACACGGTGGTCCGTGCACGGTAGCTCAGCAGAGAGGAGCACTGGCTTTGGCGTCAGACAGGCCTGTGTTCAAATTCTTACTCTACCACTTGATATGTCTGCGAGCAAGAGAATTAAGCTCTCCGTGTCTTCATTTCCTCACCTGTAGAATGGAGACTCTAAGAGTGCCTCACTCATGGAGATATGGTGAGATTAAATGAGATCGTGTATGTAGAGCTGCCAGCACAGTGCCTAGCATATGGCAAGTGCTCAATACATTCATTAGCTGTTAATTTTTACATCATAAAGATTTACCAGTTTATTCACTCAATACCCATCACTAGGCATTTAGGTTATTACCAAGGGTTTGCTGTTATCAATGCTGCCGGAATGAACATCCTGTAAGTGCATTTTGTGGAAATACTGATGATTTCCTCAGGGAACAACCCTAAAAATGAGACCTGTTCATGCAAGAGTATTTACACGTGTAAAGCTTTTGCTAGGTATTACTAAATGCAAATGCGTACATTTAAATAATAGCATTCCTTTGTACTTTTAAAGTTTCTGTGGGGATTTTCAAGCGGCTTTCACCCTTGCTTCTTCAATCTGGAGGGAGGTGGGAGTGCCTGTAGCAGGTGAATGTCAGTGATCTTCTATAGCAGAGAAGAAAGCACAGTTAAGAAACTCAGGGAGCCTGGTCCCACAGCGGCCAGTGACTGCAGTTCAAGCGTGAGATGGCCATCTTTGAGAGAGAGGCTAGTCGTTCTCCTTTCTCAGGTTTTGAGGTCTGCCTTTCATTTCCATCCCATGACCTCCTTTGTTCCCCTTGGGGCTTTGGGGGCTGGGGTTTCCTTTGCAGAAGTCATTGCTCTGCAAAGCAGAAACTAAAGGAGGAAAGTTACAGGAGACCAAGTGCCCAGCCTGCCCTTCCCCCACGTGAAAGTTCCCAGCACGGTGGGGGAGACGGCCACTCCCTCACTTGCCCATGCCCCCATGCCAGCATGTGGCCTTGGGCAGGTCAAGTCCCTTCTCCAGCTCCATTCTTATCCCCTGGCAAATGAGGGGTAGGGTGTGATCGAAAATAATGCTGCAGAAGAACAGCCAATCAGAAGGAAAGATGTCCACAATAGATCAGGCAGGGCAGCAGAACAGGTTACATAAGATATCTCCCAAAAGGACCCTGATTTTGTACACATGTATGCCAAAGGATGGTGGGAATACACGTGACTGTCAATGGAAAAAAGATTGTCAATGGAAAAAAGCCAAACTCTGTAAAATAATTTTAAAGAGATTTACTCTGAGCCAAATTTGAGGACCATTACCCGGAGCCACTGCCAAGAGGCCTTGGGCAAGTGGACCCGCCGTGGCTGGGTTACAGTTCGGTTTTATACATTTTCAGAGAGACAGGGGTTACAGGCAAAGTCACAAATCAATATATGAGAGGCATACATTGGTGTGGCCCAAAACGGTGGGACATCTCGAAGTGGGGGCTTACAGGTTATAGGTGGGTTTAAAGATTTCTTGGCTGGCAATTGGCTTGTTAGAGCGGGAAACCGTAGGACCACCGGATAAAGAGACAGGGTCACTGAGGCTGAAATCAACAAAAGGAGTTTTATTGACTAGCTCGAGCTAGGGTCCGAGTCCCAAAGCACCGACACGGCCTCTATGGGGACAAAGACCTGGCTCACTGTGGGACGGAGCCCTTTATGCCCTAGGTGCAGAACCTGTCCACACGCTTGCCCTTTACATTGATTGGTTAGCCCCTTGTGCCCACGCACTTGCTCTTTTGTTTCATCCCCAAATTTACTGCAATCAGCCCGCTCAAACCAACTTTTTAAAAACAAGCAATATACATAAGCTAAAAGAAAGCAGTTGGCCTGAGGCTTCGCAAGTGATGACTTAAGCCAGCACACCATGTGGCAGGGATAACAGTTACAGTACTTGAGAAATAGTTTGAACCAGGAAACTTTATGAAAAGTAAATGGTAAAATGAACAAACATTTGAAATTCCCAGGCTGAAGAAACCTGGGCAGCTGTAGATGCAGAAAGAAATAAGAGTTGATCTTAAGAATAAAAACATCTTGATTAGTAGGTAGTATCATACAAATATACTTTTGATAAAGAGGTATGAGTGAAAATAACAGACAAAGCATTTAATGACAGTAATATATGTGTATTGTTATGTGGTATTGTTTGTGATTCAGTCTATAAATTTTTGGAGACCATTAGATGGTTATTTTTAATGATTGACATGTTGATCTTACGTCTTTGTTAGCGAGTGGGTACATTAAAAAGATTCATGAAAAGATTACGAGATGTGTGCTATTTTGCCTTTAATTTATTCAAAGATCTTGTTATTTAGCAATCCTAAGAGTGTTAGAGACATGCTGAGGTGAAAGTTCCATTTGGGGACCTGTTTGGATTACCACCATTTAACCATTAGTCAAAACCCTTAAGCAGCGATGGCACGAAGGTCTGTGGGGCATGATGTGTTTCTTGCTTGACGCCTGTTTCAAGGCCTGTAGTTTTCGTTGTAAGTATGTTGTGTTCAGATTAATTAAGTCATTGAGTGAAACTGTCCCTGTCATCTTATACACGCGTACTTAGCTCTTGTTTTTAACCATTTTCCTCTTCCCATAAGAAAAAAAGATTTGGGGCTTTAGAGCCAAGGAAAGTGTGATTTTTACCATCCTGTGTTTTAGCTATTTTCACTCCTCCAAGAAGAGGCTTCTAACTATGTTCCTGTTTTCTTCCTTGCATTTCACTGCCGGCTCAGTATTGGAGCACCTGCCTTGGTATACAACCTGAGTATCCCAGCTAAAACTCTCTCCCACTCTGACTTAAATTGCCTAGAAATCCCACAGGCCTGCAACTGTGAAGTTGCAGGATAGTTTTGCTATTAGTTCATTTGTAGACCTGGCTCTGTTTTGTGGAGATGGAAAAAGTTGATTAGGGTTGGTTTGCTTCTTATTGAGAGTAGTTAAATTTGTAGAAATACTTTTGGTATGAACATCTTAGAGAGGTGAAGTTAAACTGGTAACTAGGAATCTTAGAAACACCAGGAGCACTAAATGTATCACTGAAGGTCATGCCCAGGACTCATGCAATGCTCGCTCCAGCTCTGCATCCCAGCGCCGTGAAACCGTTTGGCTTTTGATTTGAGAATGACAACTGCTGAATCGTTCTTACCTGATTTGATTATTTGGTGCATTTGTAAAAGTACCTCTGCATTTTGAATTTATGTAATAATACATATTGAGTACCTGCTTTGTGCCAGACAAAATTCTAGGCACTTAGTGTTTTTGGTGAACAAAATAAAGATCTCAACCTTTGGGAAACTTCCTGTTCGAGGAAGATAGACAATAAACAATTGAAGTAAATGACATAGTATGTTGGAAGGTGGTTAGTGATATAGAAAAGAGAAAAGTTAGAGCGGAGTAAGGTATATTGGGAGGAGGACATGTCGGAATTTTAAATAGGTGGGTCAGGATGGACCTCACTGAGGAAATGATATGGGAGCTGGAACCCACCTGTGGCAGCTGGCAGGATCTTGGCCATTTCTTTGTTCGCCCTGTGAGCCTCGCCCGCCTGAAACTTCCTATCTTCCAATCTTAGTCTCTCTAACCTCTCTTCGGGCGTTTCCCTGTTATTATATACTCTTTCTGCCACCTCTAGCAAGTCCTGTAGAGTTTTCTCGCACAGCCTATCTATCTTTTGCACCTTTCGCCTAATGTCTGGGGCTGCCTGATTTACAAAAGCCATCATGACGGCCGCTTTACTCTCTTCTACGGTGGGATCTATCTATCGGAGTGTACTGCCAAAAGGCTTCCATAATTCTCTCTAGGTAAGCTGCTCAGGCCCCTGACGCACATCTCCTACCTTAGCCAAATTTGTCGGCTTTCATGCCGCTGCCCGGAGACCAGCCATCAGAGTCTGGCGGTAGACCTGGAGACGCCCCCTATCTCCAGCCTCATTGTAGTCTCAGGGCAGTCGCTCGAGTGGGAAGGTTTGGTTGATGACCCGTGGGTTGATGGTGGGTCTGCCATCTTCCCCTGGGACCAGCTTCCGTGCTTCTCCTTGAATTCTCTCTTTCCTCAGTTGTAAAAAGAACCTTAAGCAACTGTTGGCAGTCATCCCATGTGGGCTGGTGAGTGAAAAGGACAGAATCTAAAAGGTTAATTAAATCCCTCGGATGTTCAGAAAAATTAGCATTTTGGGATTTCCAATTGTAGAGATCACTAGTGGAGAAGGGCCAGTACTGATGCGCCTGTTCTCCATCCGCCCCAGGGGGTCCCACGCCCGTAAAGGGAGCGCCATTATTGGCTCTGGATCTGGAGTCCGACCAGTTCGCTGCCGGGTGCCATAGGCCGCGCCCTCTACCGGAGGCCCTGCAGCACCCTGGGCCGGTGGAGCCGCCTCAGGATTGTAGGGCGGGGCGAATTCCACTCCAAATCTATAAGGTCCAGATATAGATTGGAATGATTGGAATCCGGCAGGGCAGGGGGTGACCCCCGAGGGGGGTAATCCGGTGGGTTGTGGCTTTTGCCCCTCCTTTTTCCTTGCTCCTTTTTTTACCATAATTTCGGCCTTTTCCTTAGTGGCGGGCAGAATAGTCTTTACCATGATGGTGGATCCTGGACCAGATCCTGCCAAACTATGATATAAGGGATCTGGTCCGGATGGCCGTGACGGCCGAAGACTACCTCCTGTACCTTTTCAATGAGCGAGGTGTCCAAATGACCCTTCCCGTGGCCATCCCACCCCAAAGGTCGCCCACTCTGCCTCGCAAAGGGTGATGAACTTTCCTTTCTTTTCCTCCAGGGAAAGACTATGTGCCCTTGCCCTCACATCCTTAAAATGGCCTACCAAGATGGACAAGGGTGTTCACCGGGTCTGTCCCATGCCTGCAGAGGGGAGGGACACAAGGTACGCCTGGAAGATCTAAGAAAACAAGTAAAATTAGTTCGTCTGATTAGGCGCTGCCGTCGAGGGTGTCACTGGCAGTCTCTCTTTCCCCTACTGCCCACTGCTGCTGCTGCTCGCAAAAATGGGCAGCAACACTTGGCCTCGGTCAGATCCTGTTTTAGCTTCCCTTATGGTTGGTTCTTATGAGCCATTCAAGGGGAAAAAAACAATTATTAATGACAGAGGACGACACGAACATTCAACCAGGGATTCCAAACGACACAGACAAACATGAAAGACACAAACAATTACCGACCTAGTCCAGACTTCCTCCCCGACTCCCTTCTGACCGAGCCTCCAGCTCCTAGGTCAGCCATAGGGATTTCCCGGGGTCGGAGGGCATCTCCTTCCGACCCCCACCCACGACCCACCAGCGCGTCCGCCTAGGTCCCTTGTCGGTCCTGACTACTCAGCGTACTCCAGAAAACCTTGTCTCTAGTCACTCCTCCCTCAGTCCTGAATTTTGTTCAGAGGTCTGCGAGATCCTGGACGAGCCCTCAAATGTTAGAGCGGGAAACCGTAGGACCACAGAACAAAGAGACAGGGTCACTGAGGCTGAAATCAAAAGGAGTTTTATTGACTAGCTCGAGCTAGGGTCCGAGTCCCAGAGTACCGATATGGTGGCCTCTATTGGGACAAAGACCTGGCGCACTGTGGGACGGAGCCCTTTATGCCCTAGGTGCAGAACCTGTCCACGCGCTTGCCCTTTACATTGATTGGTTGGCCCCTTGTGCCCACGCGCTTGCCCTTTTGTTTCATCCCCAAATTTACTGCGGTCCGCTCAAACCAACTTCCTAAAAACAAGCAATATACATAAGCTAAAAGAAAGCAGTTAGCCTGAGGCTTCACAGGCTGAGAGAGTTAGACTTTATCTAGAAGACCAGAAAGGATATGCTTATTTTGAGATAAGAATGTGAGCACTCTGGGATGTCCAGACAGGAGGACATTTTAAATTTATGACAGATGCCTGCTAGGATGCTTTAAATGTGAAGCCTCAGGCCAACTGCTTTCTTTTAGCTTATAGTATATTGCTTGTTTTTAAAAAGTTGGGCAAGCTCGAGGGCACAAAGAGCCAACCAATCAATGTAAAAGGCAAGCATGTGGCCACAAGGGGCCAACCAATCAATGTAAAAGGCAAGCATGTGGCCACAAGGGGCCAACCAATCAATGTAAAAGGCAAGCATGTGGCCACAAGGGGCCAACCAATCAATGTAAGGGGCAGGCGGGTGGCCACAAGGGGCCAACCAATCAATGTAAAGGGCAAGCGTGTGGACAGGTTCTGCACCTAGGGCATAAAGGGCTCCGTCCCACAGTGCGCCAGGTCTTTGTCCCAATAGAGGCCACCATATCGGTGCTCTGGGACTCGGACCCTAGCTCGAGCTAGTCAATAAAACGCCTTTTGATGATTTCAGCCTCAGTGACCCTGTCTCTTTGTTCTGTGGTACTGCGGTTTTCCGCTCTAACATTAAGATGCTTTAAATTTATGAATAGGCATCTGCTAGGATGCTTGAGTTAAGATATTTTAAATTTATGATAGGCATCTGTTAGGATGCTTGAGTTATGGTAGGGGCTTCTTATCTTTTAGGTGATATTAATGCCATACCAGAATCTGGTTGGGAAGTAAACCACCACTTTATTTGGTTAACAAAAGCCGCTTAGTGGGAATTTACCGTTTGTCAGCCCGACCCAGCTGGCCTCCTTAGGAAGGAGTTTTTAGCAAAAGAAAAAGATCAGAGTTTAGTCCTCAAGATTAATTTCTTATTTTAATGCTCTGAATTTTCTGTTTTCCATAACAACATGTATAACTTCTGTGGCTTTTAAAAAGCCATAAAAATGATGTTTAAAATATGGAGTTAGGGCCGGGCGTGGTGGCTCACGCCTGTAATCCTAGCCCTCTGGGAGGCCAAGGCAGGTGGATTGTTTGAGCTCAGGAGTTCGAGACCAGCCTGAGCAAGAGCGAGACCCCGTCTCTACTTAAAGAATAGAAAGAAAGAATAGAAAGAAATTATCTGGACAACACAATATATATATATATATATATATATATAATGAATTAGCTGGGCATGGTGGCGCATGCCTGTAGTCCCAGCTACTCAGGAGGCTGAGGCAGGAGGATTGCTTGAGCCCAGGAGTTTGAGGTTGCTGTGAGCTAGGCTGACGCCACGGCACTCACTCTAGCCTAGACAACAGAGTCAGATTTTGTCTCAAAAAAACAAAAAAGGAAAAAGAAAAAAAATATGGAGTTAGAAGATATGGCCTCAATTCCAGTCTTTGTTCTGTGCTCTGTCATGTGCTGAACACCCCCACGTGCAGGGCACTGGTGTGCAGCACGGCGGCCAGAACCTGCCTGGGAAAATGCACCGTGAATAGCTGGCTGAGCCACACACACGCCTAGAAGTCAGAAACAGAGGAGCCTTAAATATATTGTTCTTTGCTCTCTGGGTCTTAAAGCTTAGCTTCCGACCTAATGTGAAAAGTCCACATTTGGCTGAGTTAAAAGTTAACCGTGGTGGTGGCAGCAAACATGGAAACCGAAGCCACTGGTCAGAATAGGAGAGAGCCTGCGGGCAGTCGCAGAGGACTGTGGGCCTCCTTACTCAGTCGCTCAGGGCCATGAGCACTCCAGCCCATCACCCCACTTAGGGTAGAGTCTATTTCCAAAAGCATTTGACCACCACAGCCCTATTTTCATCATCATTGCAAAGCGCTTATACTAGGGTTTTTCCCCTGTATTTTTCTTTTAATCCATTACTTTCTTACTGAAATAAATTTTAAAGGAAACTTTATAATACTAAAGTAAGAAAACAGCACCATTTGCCATAAATGGAACTTTTGAGATTTTAATACATTTTTAAAATTAAAAAAAAGCCCAGAAAACTGCACTGTGCTAAATTCTGCCTTAATTTCCTTGCTTGCAGAATGTGTGGAGGCTGCTGCTTGCTCTCTTTCTGTCAAAATGGGAGCTTAGGCAGGTATTAGAGACGAGTGAGCACCTACATGAGAACTTCTCAATAACCAAATTGGGAAACACGAAAAATAATTGAAAAGGGGCAACTTTCTCAGTGCTCAAGTCATGGTTGCATGGCATAGTCTCCATGTACCAGGTTAAGGCTTCTCTTGTGCCACCCGGGACGCCTGTCCACATGGGAGACGCTGTCCTGGTGTCCGCAGGGCGGCAGCAGGAACTGACCCTGCCCCACAACGCAGGCATGTCCTCTCGTGTCACATGCCCCAAACAGGTCTGGACTGGAGCACCGCATGAAGAGAGCCGGCTGCTCAAAGCCCCTTGTCTTGATCTCAGAGGTCGCCAGGGTGGGTTAACGCGACTCTCCTGCCCTTGCTCCAGGATCGTGCTCAGGGGGCAAGAGATCGTCAGCTCAGCTGTTCCCGGGTCGGGCGGTGTCTTCGACTTCCAGAAGGCTTACAGCCTGACTGAGGAGGAGGTAAGGCTGCCATCCTGTCCTGCTGTGCTGCCGACCTGGGAAGAGGCGTTGGCGTCCCCTCCGGTCACCATGGAGGGCACAACGCTGGGCCCCTGGACCTTGAGTCTCAGAACCTATGACTCTGTGATTTGAGGACTTGCCCAAATTCCTGACGGAGCTGATCCAGGGACAATGCTCACCAGGTGTGCTCTGCTGGGTGGCTCCAGGCATGCCATCTCCCCTTCCTGTGCCTGAGTTTGCTAGTCACTGGAATGAACGCGCTCCCGGGCCTCTCCCGACACCCAAACCTACCTTCCTTTTCTCCTTACAGGCCCTGGATGTCAGCGACCACTTTCCCGTTGAATTTAAACTGCAGCCTGCAAGGGCCTTCACCAACAGCAGGAGATCCTTTGTGCCAAGGAAGAAAACAAAGGCCAAACACTCCTAGATACAAAGGTGCCACTGTATCAACCATTTCTTGTCTCTAAATAAAATGGCTCTAACAGGTATGAGCTGCTCCCTACACTTTGGAGACAAGACTGGTCCAGCTGCTTTCATTGTTCAACCTGCATCTATTCTGACTCGAGCAAAATTGGAAGGAGAGTCTTTTATCATCACTCTTGGGCTGGAAACTCCCCTGAATTGTCCAGAAGAAAGCCAGGAGCTTTCTAGTGCAAAAGGATGGTCTTCACGCCTGGGCTGGAGCCCTACCTGCTGTCTTTGGCTCTGCTCAACCCGCCCCAAGAGAGGCTACAGGAAGAACATCAGCTTTCAGACCTCCTGAGGGGACCCCATTCCACAGGCAATGTCCAGAAAGGCCAAGGCCCCAGCTGCAGCCCCATGATTTGGGTAATTAACTGTTTAATCTGCCCCTCCAGCGTGAGGTCAGGCCCCAGCCACCACTGCACTTCACAGGGGTAAAACGCAAGATCCTCTTGGTCTCCCTCCTCCAACTCAACCAGTCCAGTAACCACCAGCGCCATCCTCTGAAATGCTGTTCTGCCACAGCCCACCCCCAGGCCCATAAATCCTCCAGGGGCTCCCATCACCATCTGCAGAGAGCTTGGCCTTTGGACGCTGTGAAGGGCTCTCGTATCGGGCATAAATCTCTAGCCTTGCTGTCGCTGGCTCTGCCCAGCCCCCTGAGCTCCCGCAGGTCACCCTCTGCCCTGCACACCGTGATCTCCCTCCCGTGGGGCTCTGCCCAGCCCCCTGAGCTCCCGCAGGTCACTCTCTGCCCTGCACACCGTGATCTCCCTCCCGTGGGGCTCTGGCCCCACCTACGCATCCTGCCCTATCCCAGAGCCTGGCCTGAGTGCTCCTGGCCCCCATGTGTGCCATCCCTTTACTGCAGCATTCACCACGTTGTATTTGTCACCAGGCTCAGTACTGGGAGTCTTTGGGGGTCGATGTGACAAAAGTCCATTGGGCTAGCTGGGCCTCAAGAATTTTGTTATCTTTCTGCAACCAAAGAGGCACATAGGAGTCCAGCAAGGGGCCCCATTCTACCTGTATCCAAGGTGCCCATTTTTGTTTGTTTTGCACTGTTTTCCCTGATGCTGTTTCTTTGTTCAGGCAGTAAATGCACATGGCTAGATGCGAAAGCAGCACCGAAGAGTACACAGTGAAAAGGAATCTGTGCCCTGACCTCATCCCTAATTTCCTGTCTCAGAGGCAGCCCTTCTTCCCAGCTCTTGTGTTCTTCCAGAGAGTCTGCACATAATAAGCACCATATGTAACCTTTAAAAATACAAAATATAGCATGCCATATGCACGATTCCACTCCCCGCTCATTTCCTTTAATCTATTGGGGGATGATGTGACTTTCGATGTAGAGAGACCGTAAAGTCTGATACTTGCAATTAGGCAACAGCTGACTGAGGGAATAAAATCAAAAGGGCCCTATTAAGCAGGGAAACCATCTTCCCAAATGGCCAATTAGCCTCAGAGGTCTTGTTGGAATTGGCTGTGGGGAATGGGGCAGAGCACAACGCTGCCAAGACATCTGTCACCCTTCTTCTGAGGCAGGAAACTTTC